ACCCCCAAATTTATTAATTAAAAAACTACTTAGAATATGGATTTACTTCCACTCTTATTAATTGTGAACCTTGCCATAAGGTTATATGTGCCTTTGATTTAGCTAATGGGAGCATAAAGCAGTCTGGATTAGCAAGGCTTTTTTTTTTTTTTTTTTTTTTGCTGAGGAAGATTCTCCCTGAGCTAACATCTGTGCCAATCTTCCTATATTTTGTATGTGGGTTGCTGCCACAGCATGGTTGCCAACAAGTGGTGTAACTCTGTGTCTGGGAACTGAAGCCAGGTCACCGAAGTGGAGCAAGCCTAACTTAACCACTAGGCCACAGGGCCAGCCCCAGCAAGACGTCTTTCTTTTTTTTTTTAAGATTGGCACCTGAGCTAACATCTGTTGCCAATCTTCTTTTTTTTCCTTTCTTCTCTCCAAAGCTCCCCAGTACATAGTTGTATATTCTAGTTTTAGATCCTTCTAGCCGTGCTATGTGGTATGCCACCTCAGCATGGCCTGGTGAGCAGTGCTAGGTCTGTGCCCAGGATCTGAACCAGTAAAACACTGGGCCACTGAAGCAGAGCAAATGAACTTAAGCTCTCAGCCATGAGGCCAGCTCCCCAGCAATACATTTTTAAAATGAAGCAGCCAGAACATTCATCATCATAATTGAGTGATATTATTCTATTAATGAATAAAATAAGAAAAAGACACTCATTCAGTCTTTATGTCTCCTTTTTAAATTGCTAATTTTATGTATGCTTTATAATATAGATAGCATACTGATATAATGGCATGTGTATATCATTTATAAATAAATCTGTACAGACTAGGAGAGCATGCGGACACATTTTGCACTAATGAGGTGTGTGACTGAAATAGTTGGGTCACCACTGCTTTAAATCCCCAAAAAAATTAGCTGGTTGAGTGGAATTATTAAACTGAGAATCACTACATTTGGAGAACACACACAAATAATTATTTTAAGTATAAAATAGTTGATCTAAGACTAGTTTTTCTGTTAGTACTCTGATCACAGGATGCGTTACCCACAGAGGCCACTTCTAGGTTGTGACATTAATATTAATATACAGGAAGAAACTCATTCAACTATTTCTTATTGCCAATGGACAGGCATCCTAAATTAACCAAAATCAGTTTCAAATCATTAACATTTAACTTATACAAAGGGGGTACAGGATACAGCCTTGCTTTTTGCCATTGGATGCTATTAGCTGAATCATCAAAAGATATGCCGGAAAAAAAAAAAGATATGCTGGCTGGTCCTAATTTTCTCTTTGATATAAAAAACAACTTATATGAACGTCAAAAACTAAGAATCTATATGGAACTCATTCACCGTGACCTAAAGCTAACTACCATCATACCTGTTGAAGAAAGCTTAGTAAAAGCTTCAAGCAAGTTGGAAAGCACACAGCGACCACGAATGGACAAGCCAAGACAAAGCTTATTTGTTCCTCATATAAATGTTCACCTTGGAAACCCCAGCCTCCAGGATAGAGAAAATAGAGCTGTGACATTGAGGTGAAATGGCTACGGTCCAGGAAATGGTTGTCAATTTTTAAAATGGGGTCCATTGTTCTTTGAGTCTAGCCAGATGGGACTATGTTGCTATGGTCTGAACGTTTTTTTCCCCCCCAAAGTTCATATGTTGAATTCTAATCCCCAAAGGTGAAGATATTACGAGGTGGGGCCTTTGGGAGGTAATGGGTCACGAGGACTCTTATAAAAGAGGCTCCAGAGAGATCCCTCACTCCTTCCACCAGGTGAGGACACAGGGAGAAGGCACTGCCTATGAACCAGGAACTGGGCCTCACCAGAACACGACCATGCTGGCACCCTGATCTTGGACTTCTCAGCCTCCAGAACTGTGCGCGATTTATTTCTGTTGTTTATAAGCTACCTGGTCTGTGGAATTTTGTTACAGCAGCTGGAACAGACAAAGACATCTATGAAGTCATTAGCTTGATAAAGATTAGTGCTTACCAATATGAAAAATTTTAGACTAGTTCCAATGGCAAAAGGTATTCATCTGCCATTTTATTTAATTTAGGCAATGAGGAATGTTACCAGATCTCGGCTGAAAGGTGCGTGGGGCTCTACTATATTTGAAACACTTTCCCTAGGACTTTAAGAGATGGCCCATTTAGGGAAGAGCCAGGGAAAATAAAACTGGTGAAAATTTGTAACTGTTAAGACATGTAACTTGAGAGGTGGAAATGAGGAAATGAAGGAAGCTCTCATGACAAATGCCAACACAGATGATGGCCCTCACACAGCACAGGAAAGCAGAGTCAGAAAGTCAGAAGTTTGCAGCAGTTTTTCAGAATCATGCAAAGAAAGGGCTTCTAATATTTCCTTATTCTTTAGACCACTGTAACCGTAAATATGGATGAGTCGTTAATAAGCATCTTTTGAGAGCAGCCAGCTCTCTCTGCGCTGGTTCTTCAGGCATCAGGCAGTCTCCTGAACAGACGTGGGCACCAGGAAGGAGATTCCCATCTCCAGTTGCTGGTCCTGGATCTGGGCTGCTTACGGCTTATTGTAAACAAACAGCTAGAACAGATCAGCTGCCTGTAAGGTTAGCTATTGTGGCTCATTCCTCCAAATCTGATTTTCCCATGTGTACAAATACACTTGAGCTTCTTAACTAGCAAACTGAGGCTCTGAATCGTCAAAAGATCACATCCCTCAAAATAATCTGCCTCACTTATCCTTTTCCTTGTTCATTAGTTTATTCATTCAGTTATCCTACAAAGATTTATTGAGTGCCAGGTAGTGTCCTAGGTGCTAGAGTGAACAAAAGAGACAAAAATCCAGACACAGACAAAAAGTATCATAAATAAGTAAAGTCTAGAGTGAGATAGTGATAAGTACTTAAGTACTATGGAGGAGAAAACATAAAAAAGGGAAAGAGACAGAAGGCCTCACTGAGAAGGACACACCTGAGCAAATTCTTGAAGGAGGTGAGAAGGAGCAATGTGATATTTAGCAGGGAGAGCATTCCAGGAAATGGGAACAGCCAGTGCAAAGGCCCTGAGGTAGGAGAGTGCTTGACATGTTTAAGGAGGAACTTGAGAGGAGTGAGCAAAGAAGATAGTCATACTTGAGGCATGAAAGGTGGTGAGGCCACAAAGGAGGGAGGCAGACCGTGCATCGCTTTGTTATCACTTTAGCTTTTACTTGGAGTGAGATGGGAAACCATGGAAGGGATTAAAACAGAGGAGTGATGTGATCTGATTTAATATCTCACATTTAACTGTGGGGAGTCCAGGGCCATAGCACCAGTTAGGAGAAGCCTACACGAATCTGATATGTGTAGGAAAGACACGATGGTGACTTGGAGCAGAATAAGAATAGTGGTGGTGGAGAGAAGTGGTCAGATTCTGCATATATTTTTAAAGCATGAACAACCAGGTTTGCTGATGAAAGAAGAGTCAAGCATGACCTGGAAGTTTTCAGCCTGAGCAACTGGAAGGATGGAGCTGCCCTTAACTGACAGGGAAGACTGTGGGAAGAGCAGGCTGGGAGCTGGTTGGGATTAGGTGTCTGGTTCTGGACATGTTAAGTTTGTGGTACCTACCAGAAGTCAAGGGGAGATGTTGGGTAGGCAGATAAAACATGAGTCAGGAATTCGGGAAAGAAGTCCAGGCTGGAGATTAAAATATAGGAATGTCAGCACGTTGATGATATCAAAACCAAGAGATGAGATGAGATCACTAGTCAGTGTCGATGGAAAAGGACAGAGATCCAAAGACTGAGCCCCAGGCATCCTAGTTGTTAAGAAGCCATAGAACCAAGGACACGCCAGCAAAGGAGACTAATGCTAATGAGGAGAGAGCACCATCAGGACAGTGTGGTGCCTAGAATCCAAGCCAGAAAGGGGTTCACAGAGGAGGGGCGAGCAGGGTATGTGGTAGACGACAGGAAGACCCAAAACACGATCCAAAGAGAGCGGGTCCCTCTGAGGAGCAGCTGGAGGTGACTCGGGAAGGAGAAGCTGAGCAGATGACAGAGGTGGCAGTCTTCAGTGCCAGGCCAGGGGGCTGGACTGCTTCCTCCCAGCCAGTGGCTTTCAAACTTGGTTTGTTTTGTCCGCTTTTTAGCGGTGGGACTCTTATGACAAAATGACATATTACTTGGGGAGTCCAGTAAACAAAGCTGGTGAGAGCAGAGCAGAGAGGAATCTGAAAGCCTGCAGATGCAGCTCCTCACTCCCCCTGGAGACAGCTGGGCTGGCGGGCCGATGGTCTCAGGGCCCAGCTGTGAAGCCCTGGAGAGTTAGAGCTGGAGAGTGGAGCGTGAAAGTGGGGGGCGGGAAGGGAAAGCACAGGAAGCAAAAGGGAGATTGCTGTGAGCTGACTGTTTTCTTCCTTCCTGCCTGCCTGCCTGCCTGCATAATATTTTAGGCAAAAGGTGGTGTGGCTTGAATACCAGGACCCAACCTTTCTGGCACCCAGTGAAATGTGAAAACCACTGCTCCGGATACACAGGCATTGAGATAAATTTCCAGGCCCAAGATGGAGCTGCTGAACCCAAGGAGCTGCGTCAGCAAACCAAGTCTTAGATAACTTTTGAGTCCCTGCAAACACTCTGCTTGACCAGTATATCCAGCCAGCCAATCCCCAAACACCACACCAACTCTGGGCTCTGGACTTATTTTCCTGTTCTCTGTTCACTTTCTGTTTTTCTCTTCCTTGTTCCTTGTACTTTATCCTATAAAATCTCCCTGGCTTCTGCCCCATTTTGCGGTTCTCTGGACTCTTGGGAGCAGAGACCGTCCGCTTCACGAAATGTTAAATAAAGCTTGTTAGTGTCACCTAAATTGTCTTCTTTAGTCATTTTTAACACAAGGTTCACGAGGAAGTTCTTTTCGTTCTCCCATTCCACTTCCTCGTTCTCCATTGTCACCTTTTCTTTACTTTCTTCCTTCTTTTTTTTTTTTTTAAATGTCATCAAAGTATCCAACATCTACCAAAGAACACACCGTCTTTTCAAGCGCCAGCGAGCGCTCAGGGTGGAAGCCAGCGTGATGCGCGTTGAAGCGACGGGTCTGATGCCTGGCATAGAGTGAGCGCTCAACAAACAGCTGTTGAATTGGGAAGGACACAGGGGTAATACACAGAATTTTTTGTTTATTAATTTCAGATACTCAGTTCATTTACTCTCATTTAAAAAAAAGAAAAGAAAGAAATAGCAGCACTGTTTTTCAGGTGGACAGTTGCTGAGGACTGATTTTGACATTCTCTCCGTTAGCATCTCTAACAGCCGGTATTGCCCGGCTTCGACAGAATAATGGTCCTTCATAGTCTTCAGAATGATCCCCCAGCTCTGCAGAACTCTGAATTACTACAGGAGCACAAATTATGTTCCGTCGGCCTTTAGAGCTGCCTGTTGCATGGTGACCCACATATCCTGGGAGGGACTTTAATGCCCCACTGGAAATAGTAGACCAAAGACTGAGTGACAATCAGAGAGAGGTAGAAGGGACTCCTTCAACTGCAAGGGAAGGGGAGGGGCAGACTAGATGGTGGTGTGATAATATAATATTCCGTGGTCATGATTCATAATTTTTAAAAATTGGCAATAGACTACAGCAAGTTTTATACCAATAGGAAACCGGTTAAATATATTCTTTTCTACTCACTGGAGCGCCTCACAAGAAAGGAGGTAAGCCTATATATATCGACATGGAAAGAAGCCCATGTTTTATTTTCTACTGAAAAGCGAGATTATATATATGGAACATATATAAACAAATATAAAATTTATAGAAGATTATATATATATAAACAATTTAATTTTAATTTTAATTATAAAAACAAAATTTTGTGTTTTGAGGGGAAGAGAGAAGCGTTTTAAATGTGCATAGAAAAATCCAGACGGCTATAGACCAGACTGTTGGCGGTGAGCTCTGGGAGGTGAGGCTGGAGGAGGCCAGGAAGCAGTGGGCTCTCTCTTTAATATACTTTTATACACATTCATGTTGTTTGAACTTTTTACATGTGGTATTATTAAAATATATAATCAGTCACCTATATGCAGGTTCCTGCCCACGAGTGGCAATTTTCTGTTAACCAATGTGCGAATATCCTGTTTGTTACACAGGAGAGCTCGCTGTGTCTGGAGCGGGAACAGGAGCCCTCTCAGAGCCAGAGACCACGTCCTTTCCCACCTCTGCCCCAACCAGCTGCATCCCCTCAGCCAAGTGCACCTTGTGGAACTCTAGCAAGAGGACGGAAGCAAATTTCCTCTAAACTTCTTCCTAAACTCAAAATTCCTAAAGAAGAAATAAACTTTATGTAAGTGTCCATTTAAAAATCTGATTCAGCTGCAACTCCCTAAGTATAATATTTCCTTGATGAATCAAACAGTTCAAAAATTTGAAGAAAAAGAATTCAGAGAGAAGTTTTTAAAAATCTATTGGGCTTTTTCCCCAGACTGATTTTCCAGTAAACAACCAAACTCATTAGCCCACGAGACTGACCCTTTGTCAGTTCTCCAATGCTGTGCGTGGTTCACCCAGAGTTATCAAGAACTGCAAATTGCTTTTTCCCACAGCCTCCTGCTCCACGCATATTTATAACTTCCCGTTCTCTCTTGAAGAAAAAAAATTGAGTTACCGAAGGGTTTGCTGTGGGATGTCTAACCAGCCATTAAGCCAAACAAACTTTATGACAAAGTGAGAGTTAGCAAGAGAGACAAACTGATTTATTTTGAGCCTAACTAAACATTTAAATATTAGAATGGATAATGTATCAACAGCATGAGATTTCATGTAAACCCAAGAAACCAGGAAATTGGTTATATTTCAGTAATGTTGTAAAAATAAATAAATTTTAGTTCAAGTCAGCCTAACAGACTGTGTTTATCAGTCAGAGGGAGCAAAACTAATAAACAGGCCTGCTTAAATGCCTTTTTAAAAATGATTTGACTACCACCTGAAGAAATATGGCCTCGGGCATAGATACATTAAATTGTCAACAGCAACAGTAACCCAGGGTTTCCATCATTCTCCGTAGACAGTGTGTGCTGTTCACCAGAGAAGTTTTGTGGGTATTGGGCCAATTGGGCCGGGACTGCACAGCCACGCCCAGCCAAGGCCCCCCTTGTTGGAGGAAGCTCTGCTCTGATGGCCCCAGGGGAAAAGTCTAGTGGGGGGTTGTGTTCCATGATCCCTGGCAGCTCTGGGCTTTGGAGTAAGAGATAAAGTTTGAACCCATCTCTGCCTCTTCCTAGGATGAGCCACGCCACCTTTCTGAACCTCGGTTCTCTCATCTGTAAAATGGGGATAATACATAACAACACAGGGATGTGGTCACACACAACAAAAGAATACAGGCAAAATGACCAAGCCCTGTGCCTTGGACAGAGTATGCACTCACTAAATATTAGTCTCCTTCCTTCTAAGCAAAGACTCTATTTCCAAAGCCACTGGATACCAAGGTGAACTTGGGAACTATTTTACACTCCTCGTCCCATGAGTTTGCTGACGCAAAATTGACCACCTTGTGTTCCTAAGCAGGTTGCTTAAGCTCTCTAAATCTATTTTCTTATTTCTAAAATTAGAACATGTCTTCTTGCCAGCCTACTACAAAAGGGTGTCATGAAGGCTGAGATTTCCTATTTCTATAAGTAATGAAGTACTCGTACAAGTGTAAGCAGTGACATCATTATTACTACGCCCTTCAGATGAAATGGCTGGTAGTGCTTAAAACTCTAAGATGAGAAAGAATCTTATAGAACATGTAAAACTCTCCTAGATTATGCTATTGGAAAACAGTCCAGAGCGGGGAAGTGACCTGTTGAAGATCACTAGGCTCTTTAGGGGCAGAGCTGATATTATAACTCAGTCTCCTGAATCTTGGAGCAGTACAGGCACCACTGGACCTCAGCCAGGATGGGGAGTCAATCCCTAGGAAACACTATGCACGCCAGACTCCAGCTCGGAGTTGACTTCCAGAGAATCCACCCTGCCACACACGGCCGCACCCACCTACGCAGATGGCAGAAAAAGGTAGCATGGTATTTTAGCTCATGGCCATGTGTATTCCACAGTATCCCCATAGTAGACTTTGCACAATATCTAACATATAGGCGGCATTCAAAAATATTTATTGAATGAATTAATGAGAGAGTAATTGAATGGATCAATAAATAACAGGGATCCTCAGGGAAAGGACAAAGAACCCAATTAAATGCGTGGTTATACATATTGGGTCAGGTGGGTATATACATAAAATAAACACTTTAGTTACCAATAGTCGGAAATACACAAATAAATTTTATGACGCTGGTTCTAATTTCACTTGAAGACAGAGAAAAGAAGGGTAGTCTGAAAGTGACTTTATCATATTTATAAAGAAGGGGAAGAAACTTTTGTGTCTCATTTTCAATGGGAATTGCTAATACATCACACACCTAGTTAAGAAAAGGTGTTTTTTTGTTTGGTTTGCTCACTTGTTTTTGCCAAAGCAGAGAGCACTTGGGAAAGAAGTCTGCTGTCTTCTGAGAACCTTGATCCCCTGGGACAGGAGGGAGATGAAAGACGTTGTGCTTTTCTTTTATTTATTTTTTTTAATATTTTTTTATTGAATTGATAGGTTACAATCTTGTGAAATTTCAGTTGTACATTAATGTTTGTCAGTCGTGTTGTAGGTGCACCACTTCACCCTTTGTGCCCACACCCCACCCCACCTTTCCCCTGGTAGCCACTAATCTGTTCTCTTTGTCCGCATTTTTAAATTCCTCATATGAGTGGAGTCATACACAGATTATCCTTCTCTAACTGGCTTATTTTGCTTAACATAATTCCCTCAAGGTCCATCCATGTTATTGCAAATGGAATGATTTTGTTCTGTTTTACAGCTGAGTAGTACTCCATTGTATATATGTACCACATCTTCTTTATCCATTCGTCTGTTGATGGGCATTTAGGTTGCCTCTATGCCTTGGCTATTGTATATAATGCTGCAATGAACATTGGAGTGCATAGGACTTTTGGGATTGCTGACTTCAAGCTCTTTGGATAGATACCCAGTAGTGGAATAGCTGGATCGTATGGTAGTTCTTTTTTAATTTTTTGAGGAATCTCCATACTGTTTTCCATAGTGGCTGCACCATTTGCATTCCCACCAGCAGTGTATGAGGGCTCCTTTTTCTCCCCAACCTCTCCAACATTTGTTACTATTAGTTTTAGATATTTTTGTCATTCTAATGGGTGTAAGGTGCTATCTTAGTGTAGTTTTGATTTGCATTTCCCTGATGATCAGCGATGATGAACATCTTTTCATGTGCCTATTGGCCATCTGTATATCTTCTTTGGAGAAATGTCTGTTCATGTCTCCAGCCCATTTTTTGATCGGATTGTTTGATTTTTTGTTGTTGAGTTGTGTGACTTCTTTATATATTATGGATATTAAGCCTTTGTCAGATATATGACTTGCAAATATTTTTTCCCAGTCAGTGGGTTGTTTTATTGTTTCAATCCTGTTTTCATTTGCCTTGAAGAAGCTCTTTAGCCTGATGAAGTCCCATTTGTTTATTCTTTCTATTGTTTCCCTTCTCTGAGAAGACATGGTGTCCGAAAAGATCCTTTTAATACTGATGTCAAAGAGTGTACTGCCTACGTTTTCTTCTAGAAGCCTTATGGTTTCAGGTCTAACCTTTAGGTCTTTGATCCATTTTGAGTTTATTTTGGTGAATGGTGAGAAAGAATGGTCAATTTTCATTTTTTTACATGTGGCTTTCCAGTTTTCCCAGCACCATTTGTTGAAAAGACTTTCTTTTCTCCATTGTATGCCCTCAGCTCCTTTGTCAAAGATAAGCTGTCCATAGATGTGTGGTTTTATTTCTGGGCTTTCAATTCTGTTCCATTGATCTGTGCACCTGTTTTTGTACCAGTACCATGCTGTTTTGATTACTGTAGCTTTGTAGCATGTTTTGAAGTCAGGGATTGTGATGCCTCCCGTTTTGTTCTTTTTTCTCAGGATTGCCTTAGAAATTCAGGGTCTTTTGTTGCCCCATATGAGTTTTAGGATTCTTTGTTCTAATTCTGTAAAGAATGTCATTGGGATTCTGATTGGGATGGTGTTGAATCTGTAGATTGCTTTAGGTAGAATGGACATTTTAATTATGTTTATTCTTCCAATCCATGTACATGGAATGTCTTTCCATCTCCTTATGTCGGAAAGATGTTGTACTTTTCAACACATTTGACATGCCAAAGAATTTTACAATGAAAGAGGAAGAAATTAACCCATAAAATGTATTTCACAGGGAGGAGAACTGGGAGCGGGAGTCAAGGGCCGGAGCCTGGAGGAGAGAGGCTGAGGCAGCACAGAGACAGCCGCTCTCTGCAAGGAAGGGAACTGAGCCCCTGGAACGGAACACCTCCCACATGGCAGTTCAACAATGGGCTTCTGGAGATAATGGTTCGTGAAGACCTTTAGGCCAGTGGGCAAAGAAGCTATTCAGGGGACATGCAGGTCTTCTGGTGGTCCTCAGAGCACCCTGACTCCCTCTAGTCCTTGAGCACACATCTTGCATTCAAATAAGCCCCATGAGGAGAAAGAAAATGTAGACAGTATTCAGCTTGAGAACATAGCTTAATGGCTTTTTCGTGTTTGCACATGTGGAAGATTGGCCCTGAGCTAACATCTGTGCCAATCTTCCTCTATTTTAGGTTGGACACCGCAACAGTGTGGCTTGACAAGCAGTGCTAGGACTGCAACCGGGATCCGAACCTGCAAACTCCAGGCTGCTGAAGGGAATGCACAAACTTAACCCCTACACCATGGGGCCAGCCCCCAGCTTAATGGCTTTTGATAAAAAAAATTCCTTTAAGAAACTTCCAGAAAGAAACAGCCTGTGCCTTTAGCTCCTTCTGTGAGGAGCCACTCTTCCCAGTGCCTCAGGGGCCAGGAAGCTCACGCTCTGGAACCCCAGAGCCAAAGCCAAGCCTTGTGGCTGACATTCCGTTTCAATCTGACTGTTTTTATATAATGTACAGCCCAAGACTGACAACATGATACACTTTTGTTTTTCTCCAGAAAGCAAACGAAAATAAAGCTTTGCACAAGAAAAAAAATAAAAGCCAAATGTGGCCATTTTTTCTCATTAAAACTTAGTGTCAAGCTCTAAACCCCAGGAAGACGCTGAGAGGCAGTAGCTGGGAGACCTTACCACGCAGAGACAGGCAGTGAGGGATGCGCAGGGAAGGATAATGCAATTGTGCTTCCCAGCCCCCTCTGCTATTTCCTGGGTCTCACTGTGGGGAGGCTGGGCTGCAGGGGGAGTCCCCATCACAGGCCGCAAGCCGCATTTGTCAGCCTCGAGCTCTAGCTGCTGCGTCCAGACCGTCTCCGCCTGGCTCATACTGCGAGGGATGAGACTCCACACAGGCAGCGGGGCCGCAGGCTCAAGACCTTCCGTAACATTCCAGACTCGTCACCACTAATAAAAACAAAGATGCATTATTATGTCGTTAAGGCTCACTACAACCCAATGGAAAGGTACTTTTTTCAGCCCCATTTTATATGTGAGGAGATTAGTTTTAGAGAAATTAAGTAATCTAAAAGAGATGAAACTATTAACTGAGGACCCAGGATGTAATCGAAATGCCTCCTGTCTGGTGGGGGGTGGCAAAAGCGCCTCCTTTTAAGAAAAAACTCACGCCTCCTCTGTTTCCTACTTGCCCATGAGCAACATGGGGATAGTAAATATGTTTAGAACACGTAAGATGGTAGATGGAAGGAGACACAATGGCCCACAGTAAGCACTAGGTCAATGGTGGGTCTCGCCATTGATCCTCACCACATCCCCGTGAGAGACTGGTGTCTTCCCCCATTTACCCGTGAGGAGACTGAGGCTTTGCCACGTGGAGATAGGCCCCAGGCCATCGAGGTAGGAAATGAGGGTGCTGGAAGGGGAGCCCAATTCCCACCAAGTATGGAACCCTTCCCATCCACCTCAGCTGCCTCCCAAGCTCTTTCCTGCACTCCTGGGACAGGCCCCAAGCTGCACTGTGTGCTTATCATTTTATTTAATTCACACAACGGCCTGGTGAAGATGGTATATTATTGCGCGTTTAAAATTACCTAGTATTAGAGCTTTGAGATTTCCAAATGAAATGCATAGATCTTCTCTTTTCACTCCCTGCGTTATTACCAAGATTTGGGCATTCTGAGAACAGTCAGGCAGAGAGCACATCATCCATTTTTACAATATTTCAGCTCTAGGTCTGAAAGACCTAAATTAGAAGAGGGAAAAAAAAATCACATAAAATGGGGGAAACGCTTGCAGTTCTCTGCTTTAAAAAAAAAAAAAAGGAGATTTGATCCAACCAGCCCATGTAACAGGCAATGCCCCAGGTCACCTTTTAACATAACTACAGCGTAATGACTGCAGACAGTCTCTCCCGACCTTCACTTTACTCATTTGAAGCTGGCACTGAGGTTATTTTGAACCAACATTTTAATTTCTTCATCCCACCATGATAGAATTATGCATTTGCATCTGAAGATCCTTTATGACATTATGTTCTCAGAATTATCGTGAATCGGGAATGAGTCTGCCCCGGAGCTGCTCCATTTACTCGATATTATCCAGTGAAAATAGCATGTCTAATAATGCGTGTCTGAGCTGTACTGTTTCCTAAAAGTTTGAGACTAAAAATCTTTGAACCAAAGAAAAAATGTAAAGTCTCACTTTGGGGTAATACTCAGAAGAATATTAAGGGTAGGGATGGGAACCTTGTCTTTGATCCCTACAACAGCATTCTAAAGCACACTCTTGGCGGGAGGGAGAGGGTTGTGACTTCTTGGGGGGGTGGCGTGGAGGACTCCGGGCTGACTGGCAGGGTTCTGGGGGGCGAGGTGTTCCTGTCTAACACTTCATTAAGCTGTCCATCTGTTTTACGCAGTTTTCTGTGTTTGTGTTATATTGAACAATTTTTAAAAGTTTATTTTAAAGAGGCCTGCTATAGCCAAGGAAGGGCGCCAAGCTCCACAGGTTTAAGATCCCTTGTATCTGATTTGTTCACTGCTGAATCTTCAGCCCATAGTAAATATAGGTTGAAGATTACACAGATGGAAAAGATGTCCATTCAGCCATTCCCTCACTGAGATGGGATACTTGATAAAATACACATACCAACTAGGGTTTGGGCTCATTCATTAGGTCCAGGCTGGGGCCTAGGAGTCGGAATTATTTTCAACCTTTTTATTATGAATATTTTCAAATATATAGAAAAATAGAGAATAGTGTAATGACTGTCCATCTACCCATTACCTAGATTAATAGTTGTTAACTTTTTGCCCTGTTTGCCTCTTCAATTTTGGGGGGAAAGGTAAATAAATTATATGGACAGCATAAAAATCAGAACATTTTCTTTCTTAAAATCAATACCCTTCTATAGCTAACAATTAATGGTAATTCTTTATTATCATCATCTAATACTTGATCCATATTCAGATTTGCCATTTGCTCCCATAATGTGTGTTACTCCCAGTCTAGTGCTACCAAGAGCCAATCGAGGTCCACACATTACATTCGGTTGTTAGATCTCTTAAGTCACTTATAACCTAGAACAGTAGGTCCCTTGCCCCTTTTGGGATGACATTAACTTTAAGAGACCTGGCCAGCTGTCCCTCAGAATGGCCTACTTTCCAAATTTGTCCAACTGCTGAATTTCTCGGGTCATTTGACTGATTCCACTCACCCGTGCATTCCCTGGAAACTAGAGTTTGGATCTAGAGGCTGGATTCCATTCAGGTTTATTTTAGGCAAAATATCATTATTGATGCTGTATGAGATTGCAACACATTGTGAGGTACATCGTATCTAACTGACCCCTTATCAGTAAGACAGAGACAGCCTCATCCTTCCATGGTGAACTTCCGTTTTTCTTTTTCAGCCCTCAGCTAACTGTGGAGTAATACTACAGCGGTGCTGGAGTGCTTGCTTCTCCCTCACCTAATGGCTTTACCATCCACTGATGATTATTGTCTAAATCCATTACTTCATTAGGAGTTTCAAAATAGTGATTTTTCTGTTTCTATCGTTCGTTCTATATTTATTAGCTGACAATCTTTATGAGAGAGAGAGAAAGAGCAAGACAGAGGGAGAGAGATTTGTCTCAACACCTGCTCCTTTCGGAAAGGCAAAGTAAATAATCATTTTGAATTATCACTTTTCCGAGTAAGGAATAAGTCACGAATGGTGTTTTGTTTGTTTTGTTTTGTCTTTGGTTTTCTCCTTTCTGAGTATCATTTTAAAGACTTACAGATTTTTATATAGTCAGTGTGTTTCATTGCATTTATTCTTTTTGAAGCTCAAATTGTCCCATCTCTGGCCAATAAGAGCCCCTCCAAACTGGTCCTTTTTCTGGCACAGCAAGATGTCCCTGGATCACCTTGTACACTCTTTCCCCCAGACCCGGAATCAGCCATTTCTCTAAAGAGCTCTGGTCCCTTTCAGTGGAAATGATAGTTAGAGACCAAAATCTGGGGGCTAGGGCTACTCACTGCTACTGTGTTGTCAATGCTTCCAGGCCCTTCCAACAGACAGAGGTGGGGGGAAATATACATGTATATATTTTTAAATCATATGTTCATATTGAAATTTCCAGTTCATGTTTAATAATACAAAGATTTACTTTAACATTTTTTTATTTTTATGCTTACATTGTTTTTCTTTTACACTAAAAAGTAAGTTGCTAACAACATTAACATATCTCTTATTTGCTTTATCTTGCAATATATTAGTTTCAAAGTAAAAAGTATCAGTATTATAACTTGATTTAAACTGCTAAATTAAATTTGAGATTTCTTTTGTTCTGAGAACATTTCCCACTAAGCATGTTAAAATATTGTCTTCTGAAGCTTTTGAAATAATTATTTTCTTGGTATGTTTGTTACTGATTTGATACATAATTACATTTATTTATTTTCAGCTTTAGGAACTCTCTTTTTGAATATTAAAAGATTTACTTGGTCAAAAAATCAAAATTATATAAAAACGTACACAAGTCTTGATTCCACCTCTGTCTCCTTGTAACTTAAAAAAAGGGTTATGTGCTTCCACTTTTTCATCTTCCTCCTTTTCCTCCTCCCTCCTTTGCCTTCCTGAACTCTCCAGTCCTAAAGCTCTTAAGCAGGTCAGAGTAGAGTAAGTGGCTATGGCAGAGGGTGTGGGGAGGTGTGATGGTCCAAAGTGGGGAGTCAGAGCCCAAGCAGGGTAAGTAGATTATCCACAAAGTGTTGCAGCCTGGCATGGGCAGTTAGAGGCAGAGCAGGGTGAGGAGTGAGTTCAGCTGGAGGGCTGACTGGTGCAGGGTGCAGGAGCCCCAACAAGGTGAGGGCTTCCTCACAGTGGTTCCACCTGATGCAATTATCAGAGCACAGATGGAGTGAGGAGACCATCTGCATG